CTTTTGGAAATTTTGTTTGATCATGCTGACCTTCCAGCTTAACCTGTATTTCAAAAATATTCATCAGTTCTGTAAGTTAGAAGACAAAAGATCAAACTGTTTTTCATTTGTCAACTTATCACTGACAGTGCACAGCAGGCACAACAGCGGCAACAGACAGAGGTGATGGCTATATCTAAAATTGCTAAAAATTGTCATCATCTTTTTTCATCCCTACTGAGATATCAGGCAAAACTACAATTATTTACAGTAATACCAACTGATCCACCCAAGCTGAGCTTTTCTTTTCTTTTTAAGTTATTTTTCATCAACAGAATGGTTGTGCCATCTCTTTCTATTCATCGTATTGTATTTGGCAAGCAATGCTGCTATAGATCTGTCTCTCAGATCAGGATATTGTTCCTTAATGACCTGCCACTGTCTGCCAAACTTTTTCACTCCATCCCACAAACATGCTTCTTCTTTTGCAGTAAATGGCTTCTTATCATACCCACTTTTAGAAAACTGAGAAATGTCTACTTCATTGTTCAATATCAGGTTGCGCCATTTGTCTTTTAACTGTACATTTGTTCGTGATTGTAAATCAAATTTTTCCCTAATGACTGCCCACTGGCCTATTCCAAATTGTTCCACACCTTTAATCAGACTCTGTACCTCTGCTGCCATCCACGGCTGCTTTAAACGTATTGAAGATGTAGAGGTGACTGACACATTGCTTGGAGACCTGGGTGGTGCCAGATTTCGGTCCACTCTTGGGCCTTGTCCTAGTTTGCACAGCTTGCTCTCAGCTAAAAATAAATAGCAGTATTTGTAAAGCCTTCAATTTCTTTCTACTTTTTTAAAGGGCCCCCAGAACTCAAAATACTTGATTTAGGTTAAAGTATTAAGCATTATAAATGAAACAATACATATTTAACTTAATTTGAACCCATACTGCTGTAGTCATACTATGACATTATTGATGCAGGTGCCACAAGAGCAACAAAATATATTAACATCAGAAGGTGAAGAATTGTTGTTAATGTACCATCATAATTTTAAAAATAAAATATATATCCTTAAAAAAAAAACATTTTGCAAGTGGTGTTTGATAAACAATATAAATCAAGAATCTAACGAAAGTTTGAGGGCAGGCTCTAATAATTCACATTCTCCGTAGGATCACTCACCTTTTTGCTCTTTTGGGAACAATAATACCTGAAACTCACCATGGA